CCTCGCGCTCGCGCGCCGGCTGCTGCACGCGGCGCGCGGCTGGGCTGCCGCCGGCTCGTACGCCGCAGCGGGCGGCGGCGACCCGTGCCGCGCGTGCGCGGCGCTGCAAGCCGCAGACGCCGCGGCGGCGCGTGTTGCGGGCCCTGGCGCATTAATCGAAGCAGCAGCCAGCCCCTTGCCAGTGCAGGCGGAGGCGGCGCTCGCGCTGCTCAGCAAGCGGCAGCCGCCCTCGGCCTGGGCCTCGGCCATGCGCGACGCGTTTGTGGCGGCGCCGGAGCTCGTTGAGGCGTACGGCGCGCAGCAGCTGCCCGCGCTGCTGGACGCACCTCCGTCGGACGGCGCGGCGCCGCAGGAGGGGGACGGCGCGCGGAAGCAGCCGTGGGTCCCTTTGCCTTGAGCGTCCCCATGCGCGCGAGGGCGTTACTCGCCACTGTCTTTGGGCGCCCGCCGTCTGCCGCGCCCGGGTTCCTCGTGGTACTGCTGCTGCTGCTGCTGCTGCTGCTGCTGCTGCTGCTGCTGCTGCTGCTGCTGCTGCTGCTGCTGCTGCTGCTGCTGCTGCTGCTTGGGCGCGGGGCGCGGGGCGCGGGGCGCCACTGCCACCTGACATCAGCCATCCCTGCTACCCCTGCTCGCTGAACAAGGCGCTCCTCACCCCTTCCTCACCCGCGCCGCGATCCTCTGCTTCTCAGGTTCTCCGACCGCGTCAATGCGCTGTTTAGTAAGAGGATGACGTCACTGCGCCGCGACCTCGCACACGTCAGCGACCTCATGCGCGACTCGCTCACGCCCGGCGGCCGCGCCAGCGACCCAGGGGCCGCGGCCGCAGCCGCCGCCGCCGAGGCCGCGGGCGGCGGCCGTGGCCCCGGCGCGGCGCGGGCGGCGGCCGCGGATGCAGGCACGGAGCTGTCTTCGTTCCGCTCCGGGCCCAGCGCTTCTCAGGGCCCGTCCTCCGCCGTGCCGCCGCCCTTCGACCCCGAGGCCCCGCTTCTGCCGCCTGCATCTTCCGCGGCCGGCGGCGCTGCCGAGCCGCGCGCGCCCCCCGCAGGGCCGGCGCCCGCCGAGGCGGTTTCGGGCGCCCCACGCAAGCCAGCTGGCGGCGCGGCGGCAGACGAGCGAGCAGTAGCAAGCAGGCTGGAGGGCGGCCTGGAGGAGGCGCACGGCGGCGGCCGGGGGTTGGCTGTTGATGATGTCAAGATAGCAGCGCTCGCAGGGGAGGTGGAGCCGGGGCGGTGACAGGCGGCGGCAGGGTTCGAGGGCCAGGGGTTCATGGGGCAGCTTGGGAGTGGAGGGGTCGTAAGGGAAAAATGGGAGGGCGAGGGCAACTCACTGTGGATTTGCTCTGTCGACGTCCTTTTTTTTTGTTCAGTGTTGCGCGAGTAGGCGGCTGGACTGGTGGCCTACGCATTGTGTGCTACCCTCCTTGAGCGCCAGATGGGACAGGCTGCGCTACACCGGTGTGACGGGCAGCTGCATGCCAACACAACCCCATCACCACCTGGACGCGTTCAAGCCACATGAACAGGTTCCAGCTTGGCCTTTCCCGCGTCTCTCAACTAGGGGTTTTTGCTGCTAGAACACCACAACATGGTGCATAGACGCCATGGCACAGGCTTCAGGGGTACCATACCATATCCTGCACCTTGCGCGCACAAACACCAGCCACGACAACAGGCAGTTCACAGTTGACCGGGCAGCTGCACGCTGCCGTCAGTTCGTGGCAACTGCCTCACGCGTGGCCTCTGCACGCATACAATGGCGCTGAACCTCCATGCTGACACCTCGCTATATGCACAGCACTGCGCAACCCGGCCAGCACTCTAATCACGCACGCCGAAGAGCGACCACCAATAGCTAGAGCCTGGCAGCGCGACATGTTGCGTCGTGGAAGCACGCTGTTGCTTGATTACGCGTGGGGCAGGATCGCCTGCACTTGCACCGCGGGGCTGCACACCAGCGGGGCACTCGCAGCGGCCCAGCCCGCCACAGCACCTGCAGCGGCAGAAACACCACAAACAGACGGTTCCAGCGTCGATGGAGCCCTGTCGGTTCTGCGGAAGCGCCTCGCACAGGGTGCGTGACGGGATTGCGTGTCGGCAGCGGCCGCTGCATGTGCATGGCCTGTTGTGCGCACACACCATGTGCTTAATCTCCTTGCTTGCGGCGCCTTCAGGGCCTGACTTGGGTGACTTCATCACTGGCAAGGACCTGGAGGCAGCATACTCAGTCGAGGCGCCGTCCTGGAAGGTGAGCTGCCCCATATGTGCACCCCTGGGCAGCACAGGCTCTGCTGGGCTGCGACGCGCACCGGCGGTGCGCTGTTCACAGCCAGTAGCTGCTCGTGCTGGGGCAGCAACGCGTCATAAGCGTGATGCAGTCGCCTCACCAGCTCCATTGTGGCCGCCTGGCCAAGGAGGTGGCCACACATTGATTCGCGCGTCCGCCCCGCCCCCACAGGAGCGCAAGCGCAAGCCCGACTGGATGAAGCGGTCGGTGCCCGGTGGGGAGAAGTACACCCAGATCAAATCCAAGCTGCGGGAACTGAAGCTGCACACAGTCTGCGAGGAGGCGCGCTGCCCCAACGTCGGCGAGTGCTGGGGCGGCGGCGACGGGCACACCGCTACGGCGACCATCATGCTCATGGGGGACACGTGCACGCGCGGCTGCAGGTTCTGCGCCGTCAAGACGTCCAGGTGGGCAGATGCGCTCTGGATGACGCGCTGCCATCGGCCACTCGCGCTGGATGATGCGGGCATGGGCCGATGCTGCGCGCCGCTCCGGCGCGGCTCGGTGGTCGGGGGTGGCCCGGGCGGGCAGCGGAAGCCGCTGCGGGCCGGCCCTTGAGAGCGCGTGGCCCGGACGGCACGCGGCCGTGCGGCCAGAGCAGCGGCTCCACCTGCTCGCGGTTGCCAGCCTGTGTGCCTCCCATCATGCCTCGCAGGACTCCCCCGTCCCGTGCCTCTCCAGCTGCCTCTTGTGACCCCCCATTCCTTCCCGTCGGCCCCCCTGTACAC